GCCCTGATATATATTATATTATAGTGTAATACACATACACTAAACAACATCATTACCTAAAGTTTGCTTTAATAGTTGAGTATCATGAAATTAGATAAAAGCAGGTGTGTGTATGTGCGGTGTGTGTATTCTTGTATTGTTACCATTTTGTGATACTCCCTTTTCAGAAGAAAGGGGAGTTTTCTTTTTCTCCATCTTTAGACTTTCTCACAGTTCAGACCATATTGCTTCATAAAACAATAATTCCAATGTAATCTCTCTAGTTTGTAAGATATTCAGATGAGAATTTATACAATAAGGTCTGATCTAACAGACCTCAAGAACAGTTATTCATCAATTTAGTCTTCATCACCTCTCCTACACATACGTGAGAAAAAAGGAATATTTTTATGAAATGCAATCAGGTCGCCCTCTTCTTTTACACTCCCCTGCATTACTAGTGTACTACTGGTGTAATGTTATTACTGTCACAGCATCAAGGTTCTAGTTTCAAACAGGCCTCAGGCAGGTTTGTTTGATTTGTTTGATTTCTTCACAAAGCTATGTATGTTTAACAATAAAACGGTTTATTTTGTTATTTGTAAATTGTGTCATAAACCACACAACATTTGTCCCTACTCAGTATACAATTTCTAAAAATAAAAGCTCAGAGAAGAAAGATTTAATTTTGTTTTCACAAAAGTACAGCTGGAAACGTTATACATTTTGCAAATTTATTTTGAAAGAAAAGTAAAAATTACAACGGAATAAAATTAATGGATGAAGAAAACTCTCTGAACATAGCACATGTCAGCATTAGTTTAATTCATGTTGCTGGAATTTGTAAATGTTATACTCTTGAGTTCTTGTGCTGTGCAGCAGTCTAAAAACCAGTATTTTAACTGTAACTATAACATTTAAACTATAACATTTATGTTACAACAATCTTACAATATTGATGTTACAATAGACATGCACCCTGGGCAATCATAAACAGTAAAAACATTTTAAATTCACTGATTAATTCATTCAAAAAAAGGTGTAAAATATGTGGACCAAATCAATTTCATGAGTTTATAATATTTATATTTAGTATATTTTCTGAAATGAGGAACTTATTGATGCATCAAAAAAATTTTATTGGACAAAACAACCTTTTTAGATGTTTAGAAATTTCCTTCATTTTAAGCCCATATATTAATGGATTAAATAAAGGTTGATACAAAGCTAGCTGTAATGACACTATAAAGCGTGCAGTTTTAGGGAAATCTGATTCCACTCGAGATATGGTTACATCATAGACACCTAAACAGGAAAAGCTCATTAAAACCAGTATGTGGGGTAAACAGGTCTCTGCAGCTTTTTTCTTGATTTCTTTACGACTGTGATAAGAGACTATAAATATCTTTGTGTATGTGAAAACTATAAAAAGACGAGGAAGTATCACAAAATCAAAATAACAAATTATACCAAATACAGTAACTAACCTTGATCTTACACACTGAAGAGTGTAAATTGTATTGTTACAAAATATTGATTTTCAATGAAAGGAACACAGTTTACTTTTAGCCATTCCTATTTCTTGGACTGCAATACAGGTACAAGCCAAGCTATGACCAGGAAAATACTCACAGTGCTTTTTCTCATGATGGTTGGATATTGTAGAGGTTTGCATATAGCCATATATCTGTCATAGGCAATGGCTGCCAAGAGAACAAACTCTGAACAACCTAGAGAATAAATTATGAAAAACTGAAAGAGACATGCTGAATATGATATGATTTGTTTTTCAGATAAAAAGTCAATCAGGAGTTTTGGGTAAATAGCTGTGGCATAAATAGCAACGTTCAGTAGCAATGCTGCAATAAAAGTGTCCATAGGTTCATGGAGATTTTTATGGATCAAAATGAGGTATATAATAATAGAGTTACTGCAAGTTATTAGAATATATAATGTGAACATAATAAAAAATAAAAATATCTGTATTTGTTAATTTCCACATGTCCATCAAAAGTTATATAGGTAACATTTAAGTCTTCATCCATTGATGTTTTAAAAAACTACAAAATGTTTCATTAAACAAATTGAATAAATGGAAAATATTGAAAAATGCACCATCATTCAAACAGTGAGCAGTTACAGTCTGTGGAAGGTTTTTATCAGAAAAATTAAGCCTCCAAGGAGCTGAACACTGGAGGTTCATCTCACCCTTTTCATTCTCTTTTGCTTAGCACTGCAGGACTTCAACACAAAATCTTTTTAGCTGAGATATGAAATCTTACACAATGGACTAGATTGAACTAGTTTAACTTGAGAAATGTGGAATTTAGGATGGATGCAAAGAGTGGCAGGTAACTTAAGTGCTGAAGCGCTAATCACAGAGTTGATTTCATAAGATCTGATGTAGGAGCAAGCTTGCAAGCCAAGGACTTTACAGGAATTTCTTTATCTGACCGGGGTGTAGACTGGAACGAGGGAGCGATGAAGGTCTGCATATTTCTTATTCTGTTCAGTGCCCTTGAGCAAGGCCTCATCGCCAATCACGATTGATGGGTGATATTACAGAAGCCTCAAACAGAGATAGACCTGAGCTTATCTCAGGCTTATCTCTGCTCTGGCTTCTCCAGTCTACATGCCAAATATCCTTGGGCAAGATACTAACTATAGGCAGAACTTTGTGCCATCAGAAACTGAATTTAAATAAATTAAATTCAAATTGTAGTTTAGTGTCAGGTGCTCCTTAAGCTTGGTAAAGGCTACTGGTGCTTCTGCGGACCAGACAAAGGGGACTCTACTGGAAGTGAGTGGTGTAAAGGGTGCAGTTACCTGGCTATAGTTGTAAATGAACCTATGGTAGAAACTAAGGAAGCCAAGGATGTACTGCAACAGTTGTCGACAAAGCTGGGAGTAGGCCACTGGGTCATAGCCCGCACATTCGCTGGATCAGTCTTCACTTGCTGTCTTTGCCAGTCCAAAAAAGTCACGGAGGAAGAATGTAATTCACATTTTTCAGCCTTTAAACCCAACCTGTTCTCCAGAAGCTATTGCAGGACGCTGCAGACATGGATGACATGCTATTCAGGGAACTTGAAAAAAATATGTCATCCAGGTAAGCAAAATATTGATAAAAAAAATATCAATTTTAAGTCTCTTAATACATCATTAATTAGAGCCTTCAAGACATTCGGAGCATTAGGGTGTCACTAATACCTGAAGTGACCTAGGGGTAGTGTTACTTTGAAAAAATAACTAGTTATAGTAACTAGTTACTTCTTGAATAAAGTAATTGAGTTAGTAACTGCATTATCTTGGGACTGTGGGAGGAAGCCGGAGTACACGGAGGGAACCCACGCAAACACGGGGA